ACTCTGCCCCAGCCCCAGGCAATCTCCCGGGACGGGTTTCGCCCCACCCCGACCCCAGGGTCGCGGCCCCGCCTCCCGCCCCAGGGCCAGGCAGCTGGGGGGCGGGGTCTTCGAGCGTGGGGGCGGGGCAGAGGCGAAACTACATCATTAGAAGGCGAGGGGGCGGGGCCAACAGGCAGGAAACTACAATTCCCAGCAGGTCCTGCGCTAGCCGTGGAGGCTGCTGGGCGAGTGGGTTTCCTATGCTCTTTCCCAATTGCGTGGGGACTGCTATTGACCTGGCGTCTCTGCAAAACCCAAGTCGCCGAGTAATGATGTGAAGTCGCCCGCCCATCCTTGCCACGCCCGAGTGGTTACTGGTGGCGGTGGCCGCTCGGCTGCTGCTCTCAGGCTGCCACCGCTTTAGAGGCTTCTCCCTAAGGGAGTGCGGGCGAAGGAAGGAGGACTCCGAGCTATTCCTGTGAGTAACCTTCCCGCGCACGACCCGAACTTGTCCTTGCCAACTTCCCCTAAAAGCAGAGGAGCTTCCCCTCCCCGCGCTCTTCCCGGTCCTCGGAGGTCACGCGCGGACACCACAGCCAAAGGCTGTGTACGGGAGGGCTGGATCCTCGCCGGGTCCCTGTCTGACAGTGAGAAGTGTGGGTTTCTCAAGTGTAGGTGCGAAGTGATGGGCTCTGGGCTGTGGCCTCCAAGTTTACCCCACCTCTGAGGATTGGCAGCATCTCATCCTCTGCGGGACAGTATCCACTGAGAGCCCCATCCCTGAGCGATGAGCGGCTTTAGTGTCTGGCGATAAACGTTAAGCCTCGGTCGCCATCTGTGATGTGAGCGAGAAGAGAGGGATTTTGAAAGGACTCTTCCTATGCCGAGTTGAGTTCGGCTTTTCTTGCAATAGAATTTGAACACGTCTTTTAAAAGAAACAGTCGACTTTAGTTTCAAACGTAAATAATGGATATTGACAGCTGTTGTTTTTTGTACCAGATTTCAGGGTCATAATAATAGTGGTGAACTCAGTTACTTGCCCACGAACCTTTTATTTAAACCTGCAGTTTCTGCGCTGGAAAATAAAACAACAATAAAACAGAAAACCAGTAACTTCACTGGAAGTTCATTAGGCTAGAGTGGACCATAAGAATAACGTGAAATGGACTCTTCCAGTTTTTAAAAATATTTCAGTAAATTTTTCCCGACCTTCAAACCTTTGCTGTAGAATTGGATGTCTGAGCTACAGTGATCTACAAATAGCATGTAATGGTGGTGAGGTGACACTTCAGATCAAGTTGTGAAGGACAGTTGGTGGTGAGAAAGGGCAGGGATGAAGCCATTTTATCATCTCAGCATTCATCCAGCTTTCTATTTTTAAAATTAAGTAATGTTCAGCAAGTCCTAGACATTCAGCAAGCACACACTTTATGAAGGACAGTGTTTGTTATTTTACAGATTTTTGTTCATATGATGGAAGGGGCCCGAAAGAACAATCATTTGAGTACTTTCAATCAGCTAGGCACCCCAGTTATGAGCTCTACATACATTAACTCACTTAATCACTATAATAATCTTTTTGCACAAATCTGAGGCTCAGAGAAATTAAGTGAAGATTCAAACCTAGATTTGCCTTGCAACAAAGTTACAGGTCAGGTAATTTGTACCTACTTCAGAAATTACCTTCAAGATTGGATGATTAAAAAGTATTTCCTGGTGTTATTTTCTAATACTGGCCCCTATACTCTTTGGACATCTAGAATAAATCTGAACTCCTGCTTTAGTCCTTTTGAAGAAGTCGTTCTCTCAGCTTGCAATTCCTGCCCTCCAGTGAACTGCTCGTTAAGACCCTAAAAGCTCATTCCAAATCCACCTTATTTTATTTATGTAAGACATCATAGGATTGGATTTCATCTCAAAGGTCCTTTCTGGTTCAAAGGTTTGTTGAATCTACAATTGAAAATATGAGCAAGAAATGTTATTCTTCACTGAAAATGGTTAACACCTGTAGTCACGAAGAGTAGAAAAACTTGTTTTTTAAAAATTTTACTTCAGCACCCAAATTATGTTAAACATCAATATAAGGAATGAGACAGATTATTTCATGTTTATTTTATGCTGTTTATATCACTCATGCCAATCTTTGAACCTCATTAGTTACCATTCTATTTAGTTGGTAGGAAATCTGAGGCATTACAGTAATACATTTAAAATGACTTAGGAATTAAAGGAACTAAATTATTCATGGTTTCCACACATTTGTTCAGATCTGCAGTGTTCATGTAAAAATAGGAAACATTAATGTAATACTATGTGTTAGATACCCATCTAACTGTTTTAACTGTGTTAACTTATCCTCACAGAAGCACCATGAGGTGTTTTTTAAATTGTATTTATTGGGGTAACATTGGCTAATAACATATAAATTTCAGGTGGCCTCCGAGTTTACCCCACTTTATAATACATCATCTGTATACTCTTGTGTGCTTACCACCCAAAGTCTAGTTTCCTTACATCACCTTGTATTTGACCCCCTTTACCCTCTTCGTCCTGCCCCACTTCCCTTCTCCTCTGGTAACCACCATACTGTTGTCTGTATCTATGAGTTTGTTTCGTTCGTTCCTTGGTGCTTTTTGTTTTACATCCCACATGTGAGTGAAATATGGTTCTTGTCCTTTTTTGTCTGTCTTATACTTTAAGGGAAATTAAATCAAAACCATAATGAGATACTACCTCACACCCATTAGAATTGCTGTTATCAATAAGACAAATTACAAGTATTAGAATGGAGAGAAAAAGGAACCCTCACACACTGCTGGTGGGAATGTAAATTGATGCTGCCACTATGGAAAACAGTATGGAGGTTCCTCAAAGAATAGAACTACCGTATGACCCAGCAATTCCTCTTTTGGGTATCCAGCTGCAAAATTTGAAAACACTTATTTGTAAAGATATATATTCCCCTATGTTCACTGCAGCATTATTTACAACAGCCGAGACATGGAAATAACCCGTGTCCTTCAACATGACTGGATAAAGAAGATGTGGTACATATAAATAATAGAATACTACTCAGCCATAAAAAAGATGAAATATTGTCAATTGCGACAACATGGATGGATCTTAAGAGTATCAGGCTAGGTGAAATAAGTCAGACAGAACAGGTGTTTTTATACATAGGCAACTGAAGCAGAGGATATATTAACATACACAAGGTCATTTGGCTACAAAATGGTGGAACTGGATCTCAACCCCAGGCAATCTCAGAATCTTTACTCTTAACATGTATTGACCATCTACTACTGTATATCAACCCCCCAACTGGATACTTTTATTATAATTAGGTCATTTGTCTTTACAACTACCTTATATAGAATGGAAGTTTAGCATTTAGTGACTTGCCCAAAGTCAGACGATAATTAAGTGATATAGCCAGGATTTGAACCCCCGCTTGCCTTTCTTCAAAGTGTGTGTTCTCTCTCCTACTTTCTCAATAATCAAATCTTTATTAGATAATTTTCAGTGGGCTAGACATAGTGCTAAGTGCTATGGATTTAGTCTCTGCTCTTAAGAAATCGAATCTGAAGAGAGAAAAAGACAATTGTGATGCTGTGTTTATAGGACAGCAGCATACAGAGAACAGCATACAAACGTACTATGGGAACGCAGAGAAAGAGCACTGAAATCTGCCTAGGGTGGGAAGGCTTGTGCCAGTCTTAGAAGAACAAACGGGAATTAGCCTGGACAAAGAAAAGGAGAAGAGGTTATTATGAGCTGAATTCTGACCCTCCAAAATTCAAATATTGAAGACCTAACCCCCGTAACCTCAGAATGTGACTGTCTTTGGAGCTATGTCTCTTAAAGTAATGATTAAGTTAAAACGAGGACTTTAGCGTGGATCGTAATCCATACTGACTGGTGCCCTTATAAGAAGGGAACTTGGGACACTAAAAGAGACACCAGGGATGTGCGCGCAGAGAAAAAACTATGTGAGGATACATGGAGAAGGTGGCCCTCTACAAGCCTGAAAAGAAACAAAACCTGCCAACACTTTGATCCTGGACTTCTAGCATCCAGAACTGTGAGAAAATAAATTTCTGTTGTTTAAGCTACCTAGTCTGTGGGATTTTGTTAAGGTAGCCCTAGCAGACTAATACAGGAATGTTCTAAGCTAAAGAAATGACATACAAACAGCCTTTGAAGTGTGGCCAGGTGATTAGTTTTTGTGGTGAGAGGTGTTGAGAGATGAAGCTAGAGACTAGGCTGGAGACATCTTAGGACAATTTTGTATGAGATGCTAAGTTTAAACTTTCTCCTAAGGAAATGGAATGGAGAAGGTTTGTAGCAGTGGAAAAACATTAGATCTGCATTTTAGAAAGATTACTCTGCGAGCCTTATGGAGGGTAGATTCAAGGGGCTAAGACCGCAGGCAAGGAGACTAATTAGGTATCTATTGCCACAGGAAGCTCAACTAAATATTTTCTCAAAATATTGAAATGTCAAACTAAAACAGAACCATTGCTAACATAAAGATTTAAAAAGGCACAGCTAATCCTTAGGGTGTCCATTCAGAAGATTTAGGAAGAATTTGTATATACTTGATTTGTGCCTAGAAACTGGCTTTGCTTTTGACATTTTGCTTTTCCTAAAGAAAACTTTAATCAACTACCATAGAATACTCATTGTTTTTCCACTGCATTTAATAGACACTTTTATGGTGCTTACACTGTTCCAAGCTAAGCCCTCTGACAGCCTTATGAAATATCTATTATTATTATCTATTTATTTGTCTTCAGAGTCTTTGCTCTTAAACATTATACTGTGCTGTCGCCATATATTATTAAGATCTTCAACTATCTATTAAAGGAGGAGGGTGGAATACAAAAACAAATTGGGCACGATTTCCATAGGGAATGTACAGTTTATCAGAGGAGATAAGGAACAGCCATAAGTGCTTTTTTTTTTAAAGTGTTTTGGAGAAAAGTAGAAAGTATTGAAAGGCAGTGCTTACTTTGAGTTGGGGCTTCTGAGAAAGCTTGGTGGAAATGTGGCATTTAAACTGGGTGTGAAGAATGCTAGATTTTGGATACGTAGAAAGGAGAGAAGACATGAAAGGTAGAAGCAATAGTATGAACAAAGTTATAGGATTGGAAATGTACTGGTATATCTAGGAAACTAGTAAATATCATTCTTTGTTTTGGCTGGAATATATTGTGTGGCTGGAGAGGCCAGTTTAGGGTGGGAGGACAGCACATATCTGGGAAAGAGAACTCTTAGGGAGTGAGGGGCAAGAAAAATTATGAGGTTTTAAACCAAATGATTGCAGTGTGTACTAGATGTCATTATCTTTTAGGAGAGAATAAAGTTAATCTAGTCCCAACTCATCAGTAACAAGTCCTGTCTTCACTGTCTCACAAATCCCTTTTACTGTTTCCATTCACCTTGTTTATGCCTTTGTTACAATAATTCAGGCATAGTGTGGTAAAATTTCTTAATTATTTTTCAGTCTCTATTCTCTCCATTTCTTAAATTTATCCTGTATTCTGACTCCAGATTTATTTCTCAGATGGCACTTTCCATTTAGAAACTTGTTCCCTGTGGGATCAAATTCAGATTTCTTAATCTGAGCTAGTCAAATTTAAAGCTCCAAGTTCTTTCTCCATAATCATTCCCACTTAAATTGGTCTGTACACTGCTGCCAAACTGGTTTTGTCTGCTCTTTGCTTTAGGGCCTCTTTTTCCTTTGTCTTCCCTACCAGACACCCCCATTTTCACTATCCAAATCTTTCCATCCTTGAGGAACCCACTTAAATCTTACTCCTATGAGTATGAAGCCAGACCACTTTGGCTAGAAAAGAGCTCCCCACTCATTGACTATCTATAGGAGAGTTCTGTTCTATTACTTACTAAACACTTAATAAATCTTGCAGTGTTATCTTGTTTTCTTAAATTTCTTTAGATCATTTGATCTTAGATCAAATGTTTATTTTGAAATCATTAGAGCTCTTACCAGTTGATCTTAGATTTCTTAGATCTTTGATCTCTCTTAGGGCAGAGGCTATTGTATACTGCTATTTACCTCTTTTTGATACTTTGAGTTTAATTCAAGAGGCATTTATTGAAAACTGTCCAATAAACAGCTAATTGATTGAATAGTTAATTGAGGTCATTTTATTGAAGTTTGTTTTATAACTGGCCTCTTAATTTGTAATGTTCTGACTTTATTTCTAGCTTTACTATTGACTCACATAACCTTAGGGATAACCTATTTTATCATCTTGTTTTGTGGTTTATTCATGTTAGAAAATAAGCATACAAAGTCTACTCGTGGTATAGACGTGGAACTAATTCATGTTGTAAAGATCATTAAGGTCTTTGAAGCTTATCCATATATCTCTGTCAGTGGTTGCCAAACTTTGAGCTCTTTCTCTTTAGAAAGCTTTCTGACAAGTCATGAACAAGGAAGCAATAGTTCAAATAAAATAGAGTCTATTTTAAGAGCATTACACTATGTTGTGTAACAATGGAGTTGATAAATTATGTGTGTTAATGGTGAAAAAATTCACCCACCAGTTCAGTTAATAGTTCATTTCAACAAAAAATATTTATTGAGTTGCTTGAGCTCCTGCTATTGTATTGCCATTCTGATTAGCAAGGAGGAGGAAAGGGAGAAGATAGAACCTTTCCCCTTCCAAGGAGTAAATTGTAACATATATGTTGTGAAAGAAACAAATTAGATGCTGAATTAGAAAATAAAGATGGCAGAGGAGGCTACTTTAGATCAGGTCGACTAGTAACTTCTCCCTGAGGCTGACTTTTCAGCCGAGACCCGAAGGATGAGAAGTAGTTACCATATAAAGAACAAGAGGGGAGAGTATTCCAGGTCCAGTGAACAGTTACAAAGGCCCAGAGATAGGAGAGAGTGTGATGAGGAAGTGAAAAGGAATGACGAAAGGTTTGTGTCTCTGTGGCTGGGTATGAGCAAGGAAGACAGTGCTACAAGATGAGGGACAAGTAGTCAGAGGACAGACTAGGCCAGACCTTGGAGACTATGATTTGAAATGTGGATTTTATTCTAGATATCATGGGAACCCTTGATTTTTTTTTTTTAAAGGCGTTTAGTTTTAAAAACATTATTCTTGTTGCCTTATGGGGAATAGAAAGGAATAAGAGATTAACATTGAGTCCTGTTAGGAGGTTGGTTCATAGTCTAAGAGATGTTAATGGCTTGAATTACGAGATGAAGAGGGGATGAAGAGAAGTGGGTAAACTTGAGATGTATTTTGGTATTAGACTGCACAGGATTTGGTGATGGATTGGATGTGGCAAGGTGAGAGAAAGGAGGCATCTAGTATTCAACAGATCAATTTACGGGATCATAATCAGCCTGTGAGAAATTGGAGTGGAGCTCAGGAAGAAATCTGGTCTGAAGAGCCAGACTGGGAGTTATTAACACTAAAGAAGTTTTTGATCTCTGGTAGTGATTGGTTTGCACAATTTGTAGGTAAACGAAAACTGGCAACAATAAAGAACTTGGTCACAATGGGAACTCTGGGAAACACCAGCATTTAAAGATCAAGAGGAGAGAGCTCCGTGATCCGGTGAAGGGATCTGAGAATGAGCATTCATTGTAAGATGTGGGCTCCAGGAGAGCCACAGAAGAGTTGAAGCAGGGAGTAGTCCACAGTATTGAACCAGAGATGACATGAGATAACAACTAAGAAGGGATGATTAGATTGGTTAGCAGAGACTTTCGTGACTGTGAAGGGAAAGCAAATTCAGGAAAAATCAGATTGTAATGGTTAAGGTATGAATGAAAAATGGAGAAAAAAGAATGAGAGCAAATACTCTTTAAAGAAGTATGGCTGAGGACAGAGGACATTAGCTAAAGGGGAACGTTCTTGGGGAAGGGAGATTTTAAAATTTCATTTTATCTGTTTTTAATAAAATGGAAGATTTGAGCATGATAATAGGCCAAGGAAGAGGGCGAAGCTATTGGAAGATAGGAATAACCAATGGAGCGAAGTTTAGAGAAAGTAGGAGTAGAGACTTTTAAGTGAGATATATTTCATTGTTTTTTGTTTTGTTTTTTGTTTTTTTTTAACTGGGTGGACATGTACACATGGTAGAAAAATTGAAAGGTGTATGATAAAAAATAAGTTTCTCTCCCCTTTTGTCTTCCAGACACCCAGGTCCTCTTACTGCTAAGAGGATTGCTAAGTGACACTCCCATCAACAAGTGTGCAAGTATGTGATTGAGAGTATGTTTGTACTTAACTCTCAGAGTTTGAAGAGAAAGCTAGCTGTAGATTATGTGGATGTATTAGTGGGAGGAATAAGAGTAGAGTAATAGAGAACAGTTAGGGATTCAGAGATGAGTAAGAAAGGTGTGGTATGGAATTGTCTCAGAAAAGGACATTTAAGAGGATAATGGAGGGCATGCCTATGGTGTAAGGCCAGGTTTATGACTAAATTTGCAGCAGTTTCACATGGTTTGCAACCTTTTCAGGAGAACTTAACTGCTTCTTTATATTTAAAATGCATGTCACCTTAGAAAATGGACTTCTCAAAAATTCAACACTTATGTAAAATAAATACATGTTTGGGGTCCAAGCACCAAAGCTCTGCTTTCTGCCCTTACTGCTTTCAGCCATAGGCATGTTGTATGTGGTGCTTGGGGTTATTCAGGCCAGTGGTGTAAATCAAAACAAAGAGAAGTTTGTTGGTTAAGAAAGAGCACTCTCTGTCTGAAGGAAGAAAGAAGGAAGAGGACACTGGAAACCGACTAAAATGTCTCTGAGAGGTACTCCTGTTCCCAAAGTGCATAATTTAATCACTTAAAAAATTTTTTTCCCCCCAGTCATTCTTATCATTTTAGCTAGTATTAGGATAAATCACTGAACTTGTTTGTTTTTAGTCACAAAATCAAAAGACTACAAAAGAGACTTACATTAGCAATTGTGAGATTTTTTAAATAGATATATGATCACTTCTCATTTCATGTAGGCTTATTTTAAATGCATTTTATAAACAGCTGCAGATGCTCTTGGTGGAAAACATGATAAAACTAAGCAATGAGCCAGAAATTCAGCTTTAGCTTGCCTATGAAATTGACAACCAGTTCTTTTCAGTTATTACAAGAAAAGTGGGTACTGTTTTACTGCTATAAAAATGATAAATCACCCTTTTAACACCAAACTCTTATATAGAGTTTTTCATAAAGTAAATACAATGTTTTATTTAAGATGGTCAATCTTAGCTTGATTTGGTTTTTTAAGGCAATTCATTTAGTTGATGTTGGGCTGAAATATATTAATAATCACTTTTGTTCATTAAATTACTTCTATAATTCAGTATATTGACATTTTTAATCACTAAGCTTATAGTTAGGCATGTATTATAAGCCTACTATGTTGCTTTTAGGTTGGGGGCATACAAAAATAAGGTACCTTCATTCAAGGAGCTCACAGTGTAGTAAGGAAGAGAGTGAGCACATAGTCTTCTGGGAGCATTTAAGAGGAGAGTCGGTAAAAGCTGATTAAGGAGCAAAAGCACAATGAAAAATTTTAAGATGTCCTAAACATTTTTTTTCCATGTTTGTAATCCACTTCATATTACTCTATAGTGATTAAGAGTAAAATTCTCACAAAAGAGAAGTAGACCTATACTTTTCTTGGGAGATAGTAAAGAAAGGCCAGAATGTATTCATAGCCAGCCTAGGAGAAAGAATACCAGGTGAGAAAAGCTCTCGGTGACAGTGCCAAAGAGACTTAAGCCAACTAAATCTCTAGTGCTGGAGGGATGAAAGAAAGATGTACTTGAGGAACCAGCCAAGGGCAGAAAAACAGGTCCTAAGGTTCAGTCTCAAGCAGACACCTTCTGGGTTCTCTGATAACCGGTTATCTGGTTTCTCATCCAACAGCGGTTTAGAAATGGGAGAGGCACAGTGGCAACAGTAAAGTGTAATGGTTGATAACCTCACAGTGAAGCAGAAAAGAAAATTAGAAGTAGACTTAAAATCTGAAGAAAAAAAATATTATCAGTTTGAGACCATTCAGTGCAGGGAGAGAGCTCTTTAAAAGCTTGTAATCCTGGAGGCTATCACTGTTGGAATTATATTATAATATAGTAATCGCTTGGTCATCAATGACCCTGAGTCATCAAATTCTTTCAGTCTATTCTATCTAAGGACTTTTCTCCCTACTTCAATAGCAGTTTGTTGGACTTTTCCTATTACCATGTCTTAACTTTAGGGGGAAAACATCTTACTACCAATGTTTGCAAAATAAAAAAAACTTGGCAGGTCGCGGCGGGTTGGGGGGGTTTGTATTAAAGATTTTGTGCTTTTTGCCACAGTGTTTTCAAACACATCCCTAGGGAATGTTTGTAGCTTCAGTGTTACTGGTGGGCTTAATTAACATAGCCCTGCACATACATGCACACCTCTTACTGAAACCGGTGAGAGGCCTATGTAGATTTTTGTAAATTGGGCTAAGAAAGCCTTCAGTTTTCAAACGCTGTAACAGTCTTACGTTTCTTGTGTAGTTCTGTTTTTCTCCCTGCTTCAGATTGCAATGATGTAACCTGACTACAGATTGATTCGTTCAACCGATGTTTATTGAATGCATGGCATTTGCAAGATATTACAATATAGGTGGACTTAATTTATTGGAATAAGGATTTATTTTGGTCTATATTCCACTTATTTTAGCAGCTTAGAACAAGTAACAGAATTATTCCCAATTTACGGCAATACATCTGTATTATTTTCTTGATACTGTAGAGTAGTCCATCTAAAGACAAAATCAAACTCAGATTTGGAGTTGTCTTATTAAAGAAACACCATACATAAAAACAGATCATTCTGCTTCATTGTAAATACAATCAACTTTGAGATCGGTTGATTCATTTTTAAAAGCAGATATAAAGCATATAAGAAATTAGGGGCTTGTCTTTATTTTCTTTTTCAGAATTCAACACATGTGTTTTACAAAGTGGAGAGGATTGTTTTAGAATTATCTCTGAGGCCTTTTCACACTACACACATTCCCAGTCCACCACACTTGCAAGTCTCCTGCCAGTAGAGCTCAGAGGTTAGAGCCCACAGCTTTGGAAGAACACAGTCTTAGGTTTGATTCTTGCTTTTATAAGTTAATTAACCTCTAAGCTTCAATTTCCCTTCTCTGTGAAACTGTGACAATAATATCCACATCATGGAGTTATTGTGAGGATCGAAAAAGATCATGCACATAAAGCACCTAAGTGCCTGGCACATAGTATGTTTTCCATCAGTGTTAGCTATTATTAAGAAAGACTGAATTTGGAACAGAATTGAGATTACTTCTTTATCACATATTTTCCATTTGAAACACAGAGCTCTTCTGTCTTATTATCAATTGTTTAACCATTATAAACTGATCTTAGAAAACTGCTGTAGTGCTAGTTTCATTTGCTATATTCTACAGCAAAGTCGTGAGTTTAACAAAGAGGTTCTAGTTTTTTGTTTTTAGTGTCAAAAGAGCTAGTTTATTCTCAGGAAAAGTCTCACAAGGCAGTAGTGTCTCTTTGGTTGTTCAGGTCTGGAAACCGAAGTTTTCTCAGTGTATTCAGTGTTGACTAGGACTGGTGGAAAAGATACACGAAGCAAACTCACTAAAGAATGGTAAACAGGCCAGGGTGTCTGCTCTTAATATATAGAACTGTCAAGTGAACTACATGATTTGATTCCCATAGTTAGTATATTTTTCCCTTATAGGAAAATCTTCATGAGAAACCAAGTTACCAGAAGTTTTTTCGTGTATGTGCATTTAGAAGTGGAAGACATTTGAAGCATAAGGCATAGGGTGCTAAGGGAACGGGGAGGGGTGGGCTGAGTAGCAATATGCATTTGGAGAGGCACACTAGCTCAGAGTAGAGAGGGCTGAAGCTGGAGGGTCAGGTGGGAAGCTGCTGCAGTAGCCAGGGACTGACCGAGAGAAGAGCTTGAATAAGACCATCGCATTAGGCTTGGAGAATAATTGACAGGAATTGGTAACTACGTGGAAAACAGGGATTGAAGAGAAGAAAGATGGCTCTTAGATTTTCGGCTCTGCTGATCAGGTAAATTGAAAATATTAACTTGTTAGTAAAACAAGAAAAAACAGATTTTTTTCTTGGGAGAAGGATAATGAGTTCATTTTAGAATATGGTAAATTTATGGTATTAATTATAGGTTGATATTGTGAGTTCCAGTTTAAAGTTAAGAAATGCCCATTTGAGCTGAAGATTGAGACTTGGGGAGTGATTATCATATAATTGGAAAGTAAGGCCTTTGAAGTAGATGAGATTTCTGAGGAGAGAAAAGAGAGGGCCTTTGATAAAATCTGAAGAACTGGGGCTATTAGCTATTAAAGGCAGGTGGAGGCAGAGGGTTCCTAAATTTCCTCAGCCACCTAGTAACTGTATCTGTCAATCTCCTTTGAGAATCTAATCTCCTGAATCGCAGATAGCTAACAGCTGTATCTTTAAAAATTTATTTGTTATTTGGTTCCTGAATTTCACTGGCAAATAAAATCATCCATTATAAGTCAGTTCCCCCTCAAAAGGTAACCTTGTCTTGAAGTCATGGAATTGATTGTGGAAACTGGTTTGGAAAATGAGTCTTATGTCTAAACCATAATATACTTTGAGTGTTTCTTGCCTAATAGAATTACGTTACTAAAATGGTTATATATCTTAGATATGTGGATTTCTAGAATCATTCTAGAATTATATATGTTTATAAATATATTTATATACTATTCTATTTTGATCATCACTCCACCCCCATTTTAAGTTACACCCTGTTCCTGGTAATATAAGATTGCATGCCCTGGTGCCACTGATTACTTTGTTGATCTGAAGAGCTATATTACCTACAGTTTTTCTTTTGGAACCTTTGGAAACTTCTGTTTCTGAAGGCTTGAAGTATTATAAGTTGGAAATAACTGAAAGATTTAGGACCATCTTAAGCCTCCAAAAGCAAGTTTATATTTGATTTTTAGAGAGGACAAAAAGAAATGAGGACAGATTTTCTATCCTTAAATTATTTCTGTTTTTAAATTTTCTGTTTACTATGTGAAAGTGTTGCTTCAAGGGGTCTTCTGAGCTATTTGATTTGAAGATAAGTCCTGAAGAGCAGATTAAGCAGTAATACTCAAATTTGCCAGCAAGATTTATATATTTTCAGTTTATTTCTTAATCTGTGAAGTGTTTGTAAATTTTCAGGT